CGCGATCGTATGCATGAAGGCAATTTGAATCCAGCATCGGGAATGGCGAACTTCACCACCAATAATCAAAAGTACTTTAATTAATTCCATATTGGCTCTTGGCGCCTTCAGTTATGGGAATATGGGCTTAATTCCCACTCGCACTTTTTTACAGTTTCTGTTTGATTTACTCATTAAAATCTCCTCCAATCCATCCGGCTGCCAACATGCAGAAATGCTAAAATGTAGATATGCTCATTGAGTTAAGTTATCAGTGGTTACAGTGCCCTCAGAGCACTTAGCTTTACGAGCAGCAATGAGCGAAATCATATTCCTAAATCCTGGGAGGGGGGGGTCCTCCCCTGCCAATAGCCAATGAGGTTTTTAAAAAAATGCTTATATCAAATATAACTCATACATATGGTCTCACACTGCTTGTTTCAGCTGACATGCAAATGCAATATTTATATTCAAACTTACTGTGATGCAAACATTCATTTCAGTTTTCATTGCTTCTGCATATTTTATTAGTCGAACATTACATCATGAATACCAGGTTTCTATTGGTTCACTAGACTCTCAAATAAATACATGAAGACAGAGAACAACATTTACTGCTTTCATTTTCTCTCCGGATTCTCTGACTTCTGTGTGAATGGAGCTGAATGAATCCCACTCTCATTACATCGTGTGATGGAGAAATTGATTTGTTGACAAGTGAAGCAACAAAACAGCGAAAACTGTTTTGGGGGGAATCCAAATGAGAAAAACACATTTTCCCAACTTGTCATTGGAAAAAGGTTTTTCTTTAGGAACAATTGGAGCTAAAAATAAAAAGACAATAGAGAGAAAAGAACAGCTGTTGTCCCCATGAATTCTTCAGGTAAATCCAGCCTATCAATCAATCAATCAATCAATCAATCAATCAATGAGGGTCTTTGGGATATGTGGTCCTCTTTGGTCCTAAGCTCGTTCTAAAGTTCTTTATCTCCAGTGGAACAGGCCGGTCATTTAATCAGTAATCATTTTCAGAGGACGTCAGGTTTTCAATTGCCCCATACGGGATCTGGAGCTCATTTGAAACAGTTTGAAGGTTAACAACAGGATGTTAAAACTCATTTTCAAACGTAGCTGGTAGTCCGGATAAAGCTGCTGAAACCAGCGATGTTTCCAAAAACCTCTCGGTAATTATTGGCTCTGCTGTTTGTGCACAGGCTGCAGGCGATGTGACAGAGATCTGACTGAAAAGTAAAGGGCCATGCAGCACTCTTAACGAGAAGACACACGGGGCATTAACAACCCCCACGGAGACGCTGACTGTTTACAAATGAATTATTTTGGAAATGTTTCATGGTTAGAGTCAAATAAAACACTTCACATCAGGGTTCAGGAGCGTCTTGTGTTTGGGAACTGGAACGGAGAGGGTCGAGTCGGAGAATTTATCTGAGTTTCTTTTTTTAAAGTTTGTGGACTTCCGACAGTGTATATATCAGCTTGGCAGGCGTTAAAGGGAGACAAATATATTCCAACAGCAGACTTATCTTCAAAAAGAACACATAAATCTGAGGAAGTGATTACAAGCTGCACTTTAGATGATTGCACCGACTTGTCTAAAAGTTGCTAAATGACAGAAAGTGAAATGAGATGCAAAAGTTCCCTTTAATAAATCTGTCCCTTCAAGTTTCACACAAAGGCAGATGGTTAACCATGCTAAAAGTAGCGCTCTTAATGCAATCACCATATACGTAATGAGCTGATTCACATGTGTTATTCAGATAGATCAATCTGTTCACTGAACACAACATGAAGAGGCCGTCATGCTGCAGAATCCTCTGATGCAGAGTGAACGACGGAGCGTTTGGCATCAACAGCGTCGTGATCCACATGTTAACCTCTGGCTGCATTTAGCTGAGGCAGCGCGACAGAGAGAAGCAAACACATGGTGCATTAAGAGGAATCCAACAGCAGCCTGATGTGTTTATGATGCCATCTGATTCAAGTTGTGTTCATGCATGCTAATGATGCTTTCAAAGCGTGTGTGTGTGTGTGGTCATCACTAGATCTGCTAAAGAGTGATGGTAGTAACCCTTACCGATAAGTTACCACCTCATGTTAATATATATAAGCATGTAATGATCAAACAGAGGAGGATGTTGCTAACTGGATAGCAGCTGTCCATGTTATTTGGCAGTAGGCCGGTGCAGTATCTGATATCTGATTTTGAACACAGCCTTCTTCTTTACATGTTTGATGACATTTATGCAGCACATGTTGTTTCCTTTTCAGCAGCTTTTTGCAATTTTTAGTCGACAGGCTCGTTGGTTTGACGTCCAGACGACTGTGGAGTCTTTTTGATGACAAACCCCTAACCCTAACCCAAAGCACGCCAACATGATTACACCATAACATTTAATTTGATCCCAGAAACTTTGGAAGCTCAGAGAATTCAATTAAAAATCCTTGTTCATTAAAAAAAAAAAAAAAAACATCTTCTCCTTTCCTCTCCCTCACTCTGCTGGCCAGTAAGAGAAAGGTCAGTGGTGCCCTGCAGAGATGAAAGGGTTCATTCCAGCTGTAAGCTGGCAGACTTAAAGGTGTTTGGTTTCACTTCTTAGCCCACCATCCTTCTCTACCTGGCCTTTAGCGAGGCACTCTGACCTCTCTGATGACATTTACGCCTCATGTGTGGGACGGTATGCACATGCAGGATAATTAAAGGCTTTATATGTGATTTTTTACACTTAAATGTAGAAATCAAGTATATCCTCTGAAAATAACTCTGTGAGTCATGACTGTCTACAATGGGTGTAACACCCGAGTCCCACTGTCTGTGATGTTTTCAGAGTCCTATCTTCACTTTGTTTACATCGCCGGGACGGCCGGCTGACTCCTCCCCTCGTGTATAAAAGTTGTTTAATTGAGGGACTAGAGAAAAGAAGAATAACATACTGTACTCACTGCTTAACTGTGTTTCTAGATCACGCTCATTTCAGGTAAATTTACATGCAGTGTGAAGATACCAGCATAATAAAGATCGCTAGCATTAGCATGCTAACACAACAATGCAGCGCAAGTTGTTTTGGTTTCATGCTGGTGCTCAAGGGCGACATCTGCTGGATCAAAAAACCACATATAAAGCCTTTAAAGTTCTTTTATTTTTAATTAACAATAAAGTAAAAATGACTCGATCAATTTCAAGTTAATGTGTACTTTTTAACGACCTGAAAGTTGTCAAAGTAGAACAAGTTTGAAGAAGACTTTGCGCACAGCACTTTGCACATTTGAAGTATTTTTCCCTCCAGTACTTTCTGTTCATGTTTCTGGTGTTAAACTCACCAAAAAATAAAGAAGCCATGTTTCTTATCTTACATATAGACCTTCATACTCTGAGCTTGTACGGCACGCTTCACAACCTTCTTCCAGACTGATTCACTGCTCTGACAAAATAACCCCGTGATGGTATTTACAAGAGACCAGTAACTCGGGCGTTAATCGATGATGCATGGTGAACCGCTGCTGGTGTAGAATGTGCAACGAGGTCGAAATAGGACAAATATACACGGACACAAACACGCAGAGACACAGAGTGCAGATGTCTGCGGGGGACAGGATGATCTAATATGTGACTGCAGAGAGGACGAGGACGGGGGAGGAGGTGGGGGGGGCGGCGGAGCTAAAGGTGGAGCCCTTTTCTTTCAAGCTGAGGTTAAAAGCCTCGGAGGCGGTGACCTTGGATTGAAAGGTCCTCGGGCGGGGCTCGTACGCAGGTGTTAGAACAGCTGTAATAGAAGAGTTCCTGGCCTCACGGTGTGAGAGGAGGGGAGAGAGAGAGACAGGGGAGCCTGATGAGGAGAGGGAGTGAGGGGGAGACAGCGGAGCAGCAGCAGTGGGTTGAGCTTGGACCACCGTGTGTTATGGCCTACAGGGACAGGGAGTGAGCATTCCTTCACAGTAATGGAGCTATTTGTTGAAAAGTTAATGGAAATGAGACCTCGTGATGATCAGCTGTAATGTGCATGAAACATTTACGACTCAACTTTTTGGTTTTGTGCAAGAAGAGTTCATCAAATACTCGTGTCAAAAAGCGAATCACTGTAGCCTTCAGTCGCTGAAACATGAGAGCAGCATCAAGGCCGAAACCCGGGTTTAGAAAATAGTGTGTTTTTTCTCTTAGCATAACGTACTCATCTCATGAGATATGTCTTTAATGCAAAACAAAACAAAGAGATGTTCTGCTGCTCAGCCTAGAGACAGGCTGAGGAGCTCGGACATTCAGGGGAAACTCAGAGTAGAGAGTTCAGGTGGTTTGGGCATATGTTAAGGATGCCACCTGGACGCCTCCCTTTAGAGGTTTTCCGGGCACGCCCAAATGGGAGGAGACCCCGGGGCAGACCCATTAGTTCGCTGGAGGGATTATACATCTAGTCTAGAACTGGGAACGCCCCAGGAGGAGCTGGAAAACGTTGCTGGGGGAGAGGGAAGTGTAGGTTGACCTACTGCACCTGCTGCCACCGCGACCCGACCTCCGATTGTAGAAGAAAACAGATGGATGGATGGAAGAGGCTTCTGTTAGGATATTTTCCGTTTTCAACATCTGTTGTAACCACGACAACCACAGATGCATTCAGCTTGAAGTCGCCAGTTAACATGGTGACTGTTTAAACTGTAACACCGGCAAGGACATGCGCAATAGTGTCCCGTGTGCAAGTGCCCAAAACTCACAGTTGATCTTAATGTCTCTGTTTTTCTGCGGTTTTCATGTGATGTAAAATGTGTCTTTTTAAAGAAATAGAAAATTAAAAAGCCCGGTCTGCAGCTCTACACTCTGTTTAGTGGTGGCCATTCTTTCCTAAATAGTTTTTTTGCTTTCTAAGCCTCCGCTGGTCACATGACTGAAAGCTGTGAATAGGTAACTGTGAAAACATCTCTTTGGCGATGTTGTACTCAACATCCTCTCCTGTGTTAAGTCGTTTCCTCTCCAGCTTGGAACAACCTCCTCACATTGTGCATTGTGTACTCACTCAGCTCTGCGATGCTGCCCACCCGCGTTGCGAGCAGCGACTGTTCCAGCGTGCGGAGCTCGGCCTGCGTGTACCCCGGACACTCCCCGCCCCTCCCCGAGCGCTGCTGGTCCCGGTGCAGGTTCAAGCTCTCCGGCAGGCTCAGCACACCTGCAGAGGAAAACGCAGAGAGTGGGAGAGAGAAAACAGTCAGAAACAAGAAGGATCCTGTTGCTGGAGAGAAGTTTTCATCTCCTGCTGAAGCTAAATTAACCACAGACGAGGGAACGCAGAGCAGCGGACACACAAATCAGCACTTTGAGTTAAATATTCAAAGCAGAGCTGCTAAGCTGGATGATAAAAAAAAACCCACATTAATTTCACATGCAGCAGCTAGAGAGCAAACATTTGTTTAAATGATTAAACGCGGAGACAAAGTCGCAGGTTAATAGCGTACATCTTCATTTTTTTGGGGGGCTGCAAACATCACAGCTGCTATCAGGAGTACAAACTCAGACTGAACTCTGTAATGAAAGCGATGCAAATCCATTCGTCTCTGCTGATGATGTGCAGCAGCAGCTCTTTCAAGGTTTTTAAATATTAAACTTACATAATTCAACACACCGCCAACTGGTCTAATACAGTCTGTGGCTCCAAGCTCCAAAAAAACAACATGGATGTAGGCTTTTTTTTCTCTGCAGGTGCAGGGCTCCAAAAGTCAAGACATCGATATTAAATATGCAACATCCTGCCAAGTTTAAAAAAAAAGAAGAAGAAGAAGCTTCCTGGGAAATGCTGCAAAACACGAGTTCATTTTAGAAACAAATATTCAAATGTAGCTCAAGTCAGACATGTGACATATTTGACGACATGGCTGTATAACTCATACAGTTGGCCCTCTTGTAGTTTAATATTCTGTGTTCGGCTTCAAGGATATTTTTTATTTTTTTGCAAATAGCTTGAACACTAACTGAGTCAATTTTGCTGAGAGCCACATTGTGTTACTTCAGAGGTTTGAATTCAAAGCACGACCTTGAACAACAACAGTATAAGAATGCATTTCCCTTTTGGATCTTGTCTAAATCACAGGTGTGTTCGGTGCAAACAAGGTGCCGCAGATAATGTTGGCTGGAGAGGATTAATCCATTTAGCTGCTGTTACTTGCAGCCCGGCTTTGTTTAGCTGCAGAGAATGACTTCTGACAGATGGGATATTGAGTGTTTTTTTTCTCTCCCTACAGGAGAATGGAAAGCTACACCCTGCCGAGTTGCTAATCCTAATGACACCTCACGGGGGAATACGACGTTTCTCAACAAACAGTAATTACAAATATGGAGGAACATAGTCAATTTGTGTGTGTGTGTGTGTGTGTGCTGGCACACGAGTCTGAAGAGCCACAGAGCAGCAGAAACAAGAGTTCTCAATCTGTCGGAGTTTCCCTCAGCTCCAGTATCCTCCCACCATGTCCTCTTCTCCCAGCGTCCAGCCCCAGAATTCCAGTATTCCCAGCTCAGCATCTCACTCCCTCTTCTTCCCACAGTCTTTTCCCGCAGAGGTCAGCGTTATTTGGAGCCTCCAATAATGATTACAAGAGCTTTTTTCTATCACTCTTTTTCTAACCGCACTGACCCGTATTGATGGAGCAGCTGGTATCAGGGTGAGCCTCAGAGGGGAATATCTCAAGTTTGTGAAGTGGAAACAAAAAATGGCCGTTTGATCTGCAGAATCACAGGATTTCTACGAGGAGGATTTGATCATTAGGAAGAGGATACAACACCGATTTAACAGCTGGTGGTGTTGATCTTAAAGTGAGGTGTAAGACACGATGCTACCTGAAGTAGAGTAGCAGAGAGAACTCCCATGATTCCCCGCGAGCCTTGACGTCATCTTTTGTTATTTTTTGATTGACAGCCCCCTGGTGGCAGATTTTACACACTGTGCCTTTAAGATGTAAATGATTTAGACACTGTACTATATGGTTCACAAAGTGCTAAGTGGGACATAGTAGAATCCTGCTGTGTCATATAATGTAAGGTCTTTAAATTCACACATTCACAGACCCATTTCCTCAACTTAAATAATTTCCATCTGTAATCCTTTTAATGCACCATTTTAATAGCAATGCACTTAGTGCAGGTGCACCTGGCTAGCTAAGGCAATTATGTCTCCTGTAAGCAGTAGGCTAACTATGGCATTGTAAACGCCCTTAATGCACTTTACACCATTCACTGTGGGTTCTTTGAAAACATATAACAGTGGGGAGGATGATCAAAGCCGTTCCATTAAAGTGGAAAAAGGCTTTAAATTAGATCAAGAAGGATACAGAGATTTTTTTTTAAAGCTATGTTTTATAGAAAAAGTCTGAAACTGCCAAGTAAACAACACATCAGTGTTGGACCTGCTGCAGTATGCTCTGCTCTGCAAATGTCTGGGGGGGAAGCAAAGCCCACAAAATAGAGTAAAAAATTCTGAAAGAAGACTTCAGAAGGATTGATGGCAAATAGAAAAAGAAAAAAAAACAGGAGTTCCTCAAACTTTGAGAATAAAAAAAAAGGAAGCTGTCAATCCCGCTCCATCTCCTGTCCCAGAGTGAGGCGGTTGAATCTCTTCTCATGTAATCATGGAGACCATATTGGCATTCACGGCTTCCCCGGCTGGAGATTTTTATTTATTTTTTTGCTCTTGTGTGTTTTATTTTGATTTGAATAATTCACAGAGCTCACAGTAATCAAGGCTGCCCATCCTCCCCTTCACTGTCCCCCACTTTTTTTCTTTTTTTGGGGGGGGTTGTTTTCCACTGCCCAAACTATTCTTTTAATAAAATTCTGGGGAGCCCTTTGCTGAATTATTCATCCCATCAGATCAAGACACACAAACAAGTCTGCATCTCTTCCTCTGTACATGTTATCTCTCGCTAACACTTGGCTTCTCCACACAGAAAAAATATATTTGATCCTCGGTGCTGCTTGTGTAATAAACATCAGAGGTGAGAAAGAAGTCAGTCTCGCCCCATGGAGACTAGAAAATAAGGGAAAGTCAGCGATGAAGGGAAGAGGGGATACTGACACTGACATCTGATTTAAAAAATGACAAGCAACATGAGACCCTGAAGCGTAACCTCCAGGTTTTATAACCTCCTATTTCTGTGGCAATTGGATGAGCTCAGCAGTATATATATAAGAAGCGGTCTAATCCCAGATACACAGATATGACCCGCATTTTCTATTCTGGGGCCTCCTTCGTATCTATTGCTGTCAGGCGGATGAAGCGGGAGACTGGGTCACGGGGACAAGACTACTTTATAGCTCAGAACGGGTTTACGGCATTCCCCCCGGAGTCATCGCCACAGAAACACTGCTGCTCAAACCAGTCGTCATAAATAATGTAGAGAATATCGAGCTCGGCTCGCAACAGCTGTCCATACTTGGGAGAAATAATCAGAAAAAAAAAAAAAAAAGGTTGGACGATTCATTTTGAAGAGAAGCAGAGGAACAATACAAAGGAAAACTGAATCCATGTGGCCCAAAACAAAGCAATTAATTTAACTTTCACAGCTTGAAACTGCAGAACAAAAGTTTGAAAGCCTACAGCTGCTGCTGCTGTCTTAATGAAACAAACTTCTCCATGTTTACTTGTGTCTGATAAGATGGAAACTGCTGAGGCGAAGCAACACAAACAAGAGTTTTTTAGTGTTACTGCTTTCTTTATTTTTTTACTTTAACAACAACAGTTCATGGTTTGGATAAAGTTGAAAAAAGTACGCAGAGGTTAATGTTTTAAAATTGTATAGTATTCAGAACACAGTGGGATATCAAAATAGAGAAAGCTAAAGTAAATAAGGTGAGTTTTTACATTTACATATATTTTGTCATCCCCTTTTTTTCTCGAGTCCAACCGAAAAAAGATGAAGTTATTTTAGGAATTAGCTAGCTTGTCCTGTTAGCTTGTTGTCCTGATTAGCTCGCTAACTGACCATTAGCAATTGGCGACTGGCTCTACCCTCTCCATTTACAGAAGAACAACCCTTTGATAAAATGCCAGAAGAGTGTCATTAGCCAAGTACAGCTAAAATACAAAGAAGCTTAGAGAGCTAAAGCTAACCCTTAAGCCGGGCTAGTTTGTTAGCCATTAGCCTTACTCGTGAGCTAGATACCAGGCTTTAAAAACCTAACGATTTGGTTTAGATGTGATTATTAATCGTGCTAGTGCTTCTCACTACATGCTCGTTCACTGGGAGCCAGCTAGGAAGATTTTTCTGATATTCAGTTTGATTCAGTTTATTATTTTATTTATTATTTATTTGCATTTTCTCTGGCTTCAAATATTGTGCCATATCCCTTAAAATGAAATACAAAAGGAAGTCTTGCTTTTATTTTTGTAAAAAAACAAAATCCCAACTTCTCTTAAACGGTGTAACATTTCATCGGGGTCAATTAGCTTAGCTTAGCATGCCAATAAGAAGCAGCAGAACAAACAGGAAGCCTACACAAACCACTTAATACCAAAGACCTCCAATAGGCAATAAGATATCTCAAGCTATCTCAAGTTTAAGCTGAACGTAAACAAGGTGTAAATTGGTGTATTGTTCTACTTTTTGTGCAGGGCCAAGCTAACCATTTCCCACTGCTTTGATTTGAGGCTAAGTGAAGCTAATAGTCTCCTGGCCTCACATTCAACAGGCAGAAAAACCAGTGAGACAGGTATTGATCCCAGTGTCTCTTAATGAAAGAAAATAAGTGACTTTCAAAATGTTGAATATGTTTTTAACAGCTTATAAATCAGTGCCAAAAGCTAAATATAACACTGCTGAAAATGCTCTGTTTGGTATCTTGTCTAAAATTTCAGGGGGAAAAAATGTTCAGCACTGAGAGATTGTCTGGTAGATGAGCTCCTTGGACCGCATGCTGCAAACATTTTCCAAGAAATCATTACTGTGTTTACTGAACCTTGATGGAGGTGGACTGTTGGCATGACCTGTCAGATTTGCCCTTTTCATCAGTATACAAGCTTGATGGCCTTGTATCCTCCAATTTTTTTCCAGGGAACTCAGGACAAACAAGACAATCAGGGTTCAGAGCCAGACAGCACTTAAAAATAAATCTAAAGTGTTTTCCAGATCCACCAGCTCATCCGCAGACGACGATGACTCTGAAGAGGCACCAAAGAGACTT